TCGGTGACCGTCCAACATCTGGTTTTTTTACTATTGCATAAAGTTTCGTTTTAGTTTCTGACAGTGTGTATTTCAGATTTCCTAAATGCTTCACATTCTTTCTCTTCTGCCAGCAGCTTGAATGGGCAGGTTGCCTATTTCTAGGGGGATGATGGCTTTGTTTGTTTTGGACCCTAACTGTTTCATTGGACCTTCCTCATGGATGAGGAAAGCAGATGGCTTTTGTTTTACATGCTAAAGAATGTATTGTGACCAATCCTCATACACCTAGAGCTAAAAAGAACTATAGGGGTGAGCCTAATTAAGACCCCAAAATAAACCACTTTGGAAGGGTTTGCTTTCATTTCTCTGAATAGCTATATATCTGAGGAAACTCAAACGTTTTGCAGTGGGTATATGTTTGTGTCCTTGGAATGAAATAGGGAAGTCGAGTGGAAAATGAACCAAACCAGAAAAACTGTCAGCAGTCCAGAAGACTTAGAGATGTTTCTTAGTTTTTAAAAAAAGGATACATTTTTAATGTGTATAAAAGTCAAAGCATTTTTTTTAATGTGTTGAGAGTGTACAGACTAATGTCTGTAGAAGTCAGTAACAGATTCACTAATTTCCTATTTTGGTTTCTCCCACCAAAGATCTCGTATGTTTTAAGGGAGTTTGAGATTCGATTCAATACATTTTTAATACAGCTATGCATATATGTATATATTACAACTAATATGCGGTTACCTATCAACATTTATTATGTATCTACTAGATGTTGGGAACAAAACTTGCAGAAGTAACAATTATCTCCACTTTAGAGACAAGGAAATTGAGGTTTTTTTAGGCATTAAATGACTTTCATAAGTACTGACAGAGCTGGGCTCACACTAGTTGAAGTCTCCTGGCCTCAAGACCTAGCTTTGGCTTCCTTTCATCTTCCCTTATTAATTGGTAGCCGTGCGTAAATAAAAGGAACCCAGACACAGCCAGTGTTTATACTCACAGTGGTATCTGGGTTTCAGGCAGAAGAACCCTCACTTAACAGGGCCCTGCTCAGAGAATTCAATAACCACTCTTGCTGTGCTGTCCAATGTTATAGCCACTAGCCACAAGTAACTGTTCAATTAAAATCAAATGAAGTTAAAAAATCCAGTGTCTTAGTTGCCACTAGCCACATTTCAAGCACTGATTAAACACCTGTGGCTAGTGACTCTGTGTTGGATGGTTCCAATACAGAATATTTCCATCACCAGAGAATGTTCTGCTGCACAGCACTGCCAGCGAGAGACTTTGGTCCAACCCACAGAGTTTTTCTTCTGTGGTCCCCTGTGTATCTGTTGACAAGTGATGAGTATTTGGCCTGACCTAACAGCTTCACTCTCCTGTGTCAATGCCCTGTGTCTGTCTGTAAACTTCACAGTGTGCTCCCTTTTTCTTTCAAGGAGGAAGTTGGCCGGATATGGAAGATGGAGCTGCTGAAAGAGTCGGATGGGCTGGGAATTCAGGTTAGTGGAGGCCGAGGATCAAAGCGCTCACCTCACGCTATCGTTGTCACTCAAGTGAAGGAAGGAGGTGCTGCTCACAGGTGACTAGATAACTCTCCCCCTTTCTCTTCCTCCTCCTCCTCCTCCTCCTCTCCCTTCCCTTCCCCTGGGTGCTCAGACTCTTGACTCGGTCAAAGCCCTGGTAATTACAGTTCGTAAGGATTATGCTGGAGCACAGAAGGAAATCAGGCATGAGAAGTTCTAATTAAACACATCCCTGAGCACAGGAAGTGGCTAATAGCTGGCGATACCACAGCCTCCGCCAAACCATGAAGAAGAGAATGGATTTCTTTCTCGTCCAGTTTGAGTTTCAAGTGAATGTCACTTACCCTAACTTTGGGGATGCTGGCAACATGTGGTTACTTATCAAGACTATGCCATGCAACAGGTCACCACGTTTGTGACATCCGAACTCGCGTAAGACTGGAGCTAATGACTTGGCAAAGCGATTGGTTTTAAATGTGACCACGGTCCACCTGCTGCGTCTGCATTTGTCAGGTCTCTCAGGATTCTATGCACACCTACATACGTGTGTGTCCGTTGTGTCTCGGGGGAAAGTAATGGCGAATTTTTCTCTTTGTGACCTGAAAACAATTCGTACTTCAGAGCTTTTTTTAATCTGAACAGTTATCTGAAGTAGGAAGAGGGACAGCTCTAAGGCGGAGCTTGTACCAAAAAAGGAGCCCATACAGGGATGTAGCTGTCTCTAAATGCAAGGTGTGCTCTCGCCAGGCTAGCTGATTGCTTCCGTGTGCAGTAAGTCCTCACTTAACATTATCGATAGGTGACACGTGAAATGAAACCAGTTTTACCAGAGGCTAATTGATATAAACAAGAGTTCAGTTTCTAGAGCATCTCATTGAAGTGATAATGATGTAGAATGAAATGCCATTATTTAAGGACCTGCTGTCCATAGGGTGTCTACTCTTTGCAAGGCGCGGTGGGGTGTGCGCGTCATGTTGCATGCTCACGTGTATCTAGTAGGTGTATAAGGGTAGGGTTTCGCTGATGAGGGAGGTGAACGTAGTCTGGAATTTATAGTGTTTGGTCCGGGTACACCGATACTAAGGAAGATAGGGCCAACCAGAGCTGTGTTGGCCTGCCCAGGACCGAGAGGATACTCAAAAATATATCTCATGGGGTGGAGTTGGAGGAGCTGGAGGTAAAACCGAGGAGAGGACCAGGGCACAAACCGTCAAAGTGTTTCACGCTCATCTGTCTAGCTAGAAAGTAGTATGGTAGTAACTAAAGTAGAGGTAAAATTAGCGACCCTTGTCGTTTACCTCGGTCACAGTAATTATTGAAGAATTAAGACCTTAGATAGTTTTTATCCAGAAAAGCATCATTAAACGTCCCAAATGAGGTATGCTTTAAGGAACCCCCAGCAAGGAGCCATTCTCCCATGAATCCCGCGTGTTAGGTTCTAGTCTGTCTGTGGAAAGTTGGCAGACAGGAAATTCCTGTGTCCACAGAGAAGCTCACGTAGAACTAGTCTTGCCCTTCCTCTCTCTGAGCTGTCTCTAGTGAGTCTCACATTTCTTTTCACCCTGGGCCTGGAGCTGTGTGCGTGTGTCTCTCTCTGCCTCTGAGGAGTATAGTTCGCATGTGGGCTTTCTAGTTACTAGTAGGAGAAGAGTGAGATGGAGTGAAAGCGGGAGAGAAAAGGTGGGAACAGGGATGGTCTTGAAGGGGTTGTGGATGAATGAACCCCGGGACGCTGACCAGAACCATGGTATTCTTACCCTCGAAGCCCTCACCTCCAGAGAGGCACCCGCACACCTCCTGGAGGTCCCAGCTGTTTGTTCTCTGTGGTTTGCGTTGTGTTTGTTCTCTTCTAGTTCCCCGCTCTTTCCATTCCAAGCAACTGTGAGATCCTTAGCATTTCTCTGTCGTAGAGGTTTTTTGAGAGACGGGAGCAGAGGGAGCTGGAAGTCTCTGGTGCCTTTTATCTTCTGTTAAAGCTTAAATTTATGGAAGAGATTACGATGCATGCCCTAGAGGAGAGAGAGAAAAAAACTAGTAGGAGGGAAGAGTGGAGTAATTGGTTGATTTGTGGAAAGGAAGTGAGAGAGAGAGAAAGTGCGGATTAGGGAGAAACAGAGTGGGGTGGATCTGGGAGTATTGGAGACATGCGTGCCCCACGCGCGCACCCGGGTGCTATTACGAAGCCTTCAGAGGGGATGGGGGAAGCCTAGACTTAGGGTCATTCAGACACACCAGACCTCCCATCCCATATTGAGCAATGGAGACAAAAAGCCTCAGGCTCCTTTGGGATCATGAGAGACCAGACTCTTGGAGGCTCAGTTGGAGCCCACAGGACTGTTGACGCACTATGAATGAGGGGGTCTGCCCTATGCTGTGGCTTAGTATGCCTCCCCAGACCCTCCACCCACCCTCGGGGAGCCAGTTCCCATGACGACTGGGTCTCCTGCCAGCCCAGCGGAAGCTCCGAATCAACTGTGATTTATTTGAACAGAAATTAAGAAACAACATGTTTGTACACCTACGTCTGTAGGCCAGGTCTGATATCTACAACAGCGGCAAATTAGCTTCTTTATTTTTGCGTTTATCCTTCTGCTGACGAATCTTGGCTGTGGGGACCACAAGGATGAAAGAGGAGCCGAGAGACGTTATCCTCAAAGTCCTATAACTCGGGGGAGGGGGCCAGGGAGGTGGACAGACACAGGCAGTGTAGTGTCACAGGTGCCACAGAGGAAATCTGGCCACAGGCATGTCACTTAGAAGAGAGAGAGGGCATGAGTTAGAGAAGGATTCCTGGCAAGTTTAGGATACCTTCGCCCGTTTGGGGCTGAGCTCAGGGAATCAGCTGAGGACTCGCCACGAGGGTAGGAGGACAGCAGGTAGAACTGAGAAAAGAATGACTCGCCTATATTAAAACCTCGGGGCCTGGGTTCCTCTATCATTGTCTCCACCTGAATGGAATATTTCATTGTCATTGGTGCCAGATTACATAGTGATGACTTAGGAATGTGCCTATTACAAGGTGACCACCTGAAACGATGGAGCATTTCGCTCCTCTGAGTGGGAATCTAGACCCAGCTGGACCAAAGAATAAAGCGGTCCCATCCCAACTGTCTCTGGTCTTCCTATTTCCTCTTTAGCCTGGTTTTAACTGCCACCTGTCATGACCCTCCCCAGCTCCAGAAAAATGTCCCTTCTGAAGCCCAGAATCTCTTGACAAGGGAATTTTCCCCATCTCCATTTCCTCAGGGATGGCAGACTGTCCTTAGGAGATGAGCTGCTGGTAATCAATGGCCACTTACTGGTGGGGCTCTCTCATGAAGAAGCTGTGGCCATTCTTCGCTCAGCTACTGGGATGGTTCAGCTGGTCGTGGCCAGCAAGGTAGGTAGTTTTGTTTGCTTTTTTTAAAAAATACTTTTAATGGTGATGAATTTGGATTTGAGCCCTCTCCGTATACCGTCCCATACACACGCCCGCGAACTTGCCCATTTATCCTGGGCCATTTAAACAGCCGTGATTCTACAATGCAAGCCCACAAGGGGGCCCGTAGCTAAAGGACATTTAAGGGTCTGTATAGGTATATGTAGGAGATGGGAAAGCAATAATAGGACTAAGGGAAAGGTAAGAATGGTAGGGTGAAGGAAGGACATTGCAGAGAGAGTAGCAGCTCGTCCAGCGAGGAGATATGGCGGTCCGCCCCACAGCAGGGGGAGGGAGGCACGGAGGGGCACATTCTCCAGGTCCTGGAGGAGGAGAGGTTCGGGCCGGTTCTGACTCATGGCCTCACAGAGTGTTGGCGCCAGAGGAAATCTTGTGAATCCTGTTTG